ATATTTTTATCTAAAAACTAATAAAATTAATATTTTAAAATATATATAATTAATATTTTTATTTACACATTTTTTTCTCTTTCATTATCCGTTAATCTATCTATCCGTCCGTCCACAAGCTTCCCCGTCCATTGATAAATTCCGTCCATGAACACATACGTGGTGCAGTCTGTATCCAAACACAAACAGTGATAAGGAAATAAGCGGGCTGAGGAGCCGTTTTCTGTGTATGATTTAATTTTGAACATGCTGGCTTGTTAGGACTCCCCTCTAATCATCCTAGAGTTAGATAAAGGCTATTTGATTTGTGAATTTTGTTTAAATTTCCATTGATCACGCTAAAATAGAAATTTAAACCACTAATGAAATTTTCACCAAACATAAAAATAAAAGATACATTGGTATAGATATAAAGTGGTTAATTAACTAATTCCTTCTCTTCATAGGTTTCCTTGTAAATTTCCTCATTATGGATGATATTTTGCTAAGAGATTCATGTCAAAAAAAATATAAATTTCTATAGCGAACTATTTTTAATGTGTGACTTTTCTAAATATTGTTTCCTTGTGTTAGTAACCAAATACTCTCTTATTGAGAATCTTTTTCTGTTAAAGATTATATAAAGACTATTTTATTTCTAAATTTTATTTAATTTAAACCACACCAAAATAGAAATTTAAACCACTCACAAATTTTAATAAATTTTTTTTTGCTTTTCTTAAAAAAAAACCCACTCATGAAATTTTTCGCAAAACATAAATAAAAGACATATATAAAAAGTAGTTAATTAACTACCCACTTCCCTTTATTAAGGTTTAAAGTATCCGATAGATTTATTTTCACACCTTAAGTAAATAATATCACATGTTTTTAATATAATTGTATAGTATACTTTTATATTTTACATTTTACATTTTTTTAAAAAATTCAAATTTTTATTTTTTAATAAATTAAAAAAATATATAATTATTAATTAAGATAAAAAAAATGATATTAGTAATTGAGTGTGTGACATTAACATTATCCTAAAGTATGCGCAAGATGAAAGAATTAGAAAAAAGACATTTTATTATGATTTAGAGAGATATGTTTTAAGAGTTACATATAATAACCTTTATATAAGCTCTACATAGATAATAGAAGAAAATATGTCAACTACATTAAAATCCTTAAATATATTTATCCATTAATGCTGAATCAAATATATTATTTAATCAATCAATCACTAATGTGATTGAATCTCCCAATTCTTCAATCCTCTTCATAGGTTTCCTTGTAGATTTCCTCATTATGGATGATATTTTCCTTAGAAATTCTTCCCGTCGAAATGTATAAATTTCCTGAGCGAATAATTTTTGATGTGTGGCTTTCCCAAATATTGCTTCGAGGCATGGGTGACCAAATACTCTTTTATGGAGAATCTCTTCCTGTGAAAGATTCCCGGCCCATAAGTTGAACGCAAAATCTCAAAAAGAAGCCGAGATTGCGATGACAAAAAGACAAAAACTGGAATACTGGCAAGCAAA